TACATAAAGAAATTTAATTTAAAATTATTAAGATTAAGATTAACATGTGTGGTTATTGACATGTATGGTTATTAGTTGATATGTTAATATACTTTGTTAAATTGAAATTCAAATTAGGTGATTAAATGATGGACGATCGTAGTTGGATAGATTGTCGTGTGGATGATAGTAGTTTTGTTACTGAAGAATTTAAAAAGGGGGTGCAATTTTTTGTGAGATTTGCATTTTCAAGATCGAAAACAAAATCAGAGATTAAGTGTCCTTGTTCAAAATGTAAATGTAGAAAATGGGGGAATCCTGAGGTTATCTCTGTGCATTTGTGTAAGCATGGGTTTATGAATAACTATTATACATGGTTTGTTCATGGAGAGACATCTAGTAATACAGTAAGAACTTTGAAGGGGAATCTTCTAATATGGAGTTTGTTAGAAATGAGGTTGATGCATTATACTATGAAATGGTAGTTGATGCAATGGGTGCACAGTCTGAATACAATGACGAGCTAATGGCTGAGGAGCCAAATAGTTAGGCAAGAGAATTTTATGATCTCTTGCATGCTACAGAAATCCATATAGGTGTTGGGGGACAGGATGTTACAGTACTTTCATGGATGGTAGAAATGCTAAACATGAAAACTCTTTATAATATGAGTGCTGCTAATTGGGAAATGGCATTGTCATTGAGTCAAAAGTTGTTGAGTCCAGAGGACCAAGAAAATGTGCCAAAGGATTTCTATAGTGTAAAAAAAATGATAAATGTGCTTGGACTTGGGTACAAGAAAATTGATATTTGTGTCAATGATTGCTTCTTGTACTATGATGAGCAAAGTAAGAATTTAACTGCTTGTCCAGTGTGTGGAGAATCTCGTTATGAGCCAAGGAATATGTCTGCTATAAGGCAGAAAGATGTTCCAAGGAAATCTTTATGGTACCTTCCAATTACCCCAAGATTGCAGCGACTATACATGTCTAGAAAAACAGCAAAGCACATGACATGGCATTTGAAATGCCGTGAGGATGCGGATGAAGTTATTCATCCTGCGGGTAGTAAGGCATGGAAACACTTTGATGAAACCTACCCAACATTTGCTGATGAACCTAGAAATGTTAGACTTGGCCTCTGTACAGATGGTTTCAATCCATTTGGTTGCTCTGCAACGCCTTACTCTTGTTGGCCTGTTTTTCTTACAGTGTACAACCTTCCTTCTGAATTGTGTATGAAGTCAGAGCATATATTTCTTGCCATGATAATTGCTGGACCTAAAAGTCCAGGAAAAAACATTGATGTCATGCTTAGGCCATTAATTGATGAACTTAAGGAATTATGGACAAATGGGGTTGAAACTTATGATAGTTTCAGACAATAGAATTTATCATGAAAGCTGCATTGCTATGGACTATAAGTGATTTTCCAGGTTATGGCATGTTATCTGGATGGAGCACACATGGGAAGTTGTCATGCCCTTATTGCATGGAGAACACTAAGGCTTTTCAACTTCAATATGGGAGGAAAACATCATTTTTTGATTGTCATCGTCAATGTTTACCTCCTAAACATCCATTTCGTAGAGATAAGAATTTTTATCTCAATAGAGTTGAAAAAAGCCATCCCCCCCCAAGCCTAGATGGTACTTTGATGGAAGAAATGGTTAATCAGCTCCCTGGCATAGTCTTTGGCCAGCCACTTCGTAAACATTCAATTGCAGGATTTGGTGTTTTTCATAATTGGGTGAAACGTAGTATATTTTGGGAATTGCCATACTGGAAGGATTTATTGATTCGTCATAACCTTGATGTCATGCATTGTGAGAAGAATTTTTTAGATAACATTAAAAATACTGTCATGGATGACAAGGGTTGTATGAAGGATAACACCAATGCTAGATTGGATTTACAATTGTATTGCAATAGATCTGAATTAGAATTGATACCTCAAGATGATGGAACAGCTATAAAACCCAATGCTTCATATGTTCTTACTCGAGAGCAATGAGCTCTTATCTGTTAGTGGCTGAAGGAATTGAGATTTTCAGATGGGTATGCATACAACATAGCACGATGTGTTAACATGCAGGAACTTCGATTGTTTGGGATGAAAAGTCATGATTGTCATGTATTCATGCAGCGTCTCTTGCCAATTGCTTTCCGTGATTTCCTCATAGATGAAGTTTGAGGTCCCTTAATTGAGATGAGTAACTTTTTTAGAGCTTTAACTGCTCCGATTATTCAAGTCAGTAACGTGGAGATGTGGGAGGAAAAAATTGTTGAAACCATTTGCAAGTTAGAGAAAGTATTCCCATCAGCATTCTTTGACTCGATGGAGCATTTGGCTATCCATCTACCATATGAGGCAAAAGTTGGAGGACCTGTCCAATTTCTTTGGATGTATCCTTTTGAAAGGTATATTTCTTCTAATATATCTTTGCATTACAATAACATTCATGAGCATATTTAATAATCTAATGTTATTAGTTAATTTTCTTATTTGTTTAACAAAAAAATGCATGACCTTAAGAAAACAGTGTTGAAGAAAAATCGTGTTGAAGCTTCAATTTGCGAGTCTAATATTCTTTCAGAAATTTCCTTCTTTTGCTCGCACTATTTTGGATCTAACATAAAGACAAGATTGAATCATCAACTAAGAAACATTGTCGGTGTGAATGATGATATGGATAATTGTTTGTCAGTCTTTAAACATCGAGGTCAACCACTAGGTGGAGAAATGAGTATGCGTGCATTGTCACCCAAAGAATTAAAGGCAGCAGAACTTTGTGTTTTGCTTAATTGTGAAGAAGTTAATCCATGGATTGCGTATGTTCTCTAGTTCTAACTTTCATTTGTTTAAGTTACTAGTATGTTTAGATTGTTTACTCCAACTTCTTCATGTAGGCTTTTTGATTATCAAGTATGTTTTGGTCTATCAGAGGATCAAATTCAAATCAAACAGCAACTTGAATTTATTCTTTGGTTTAAGACAACGGTAAGTAATTTATTTTAATAATCTTTATTAGTAAGATCTCAATTTTTATATATTTTAGGATTAAATATTAAATATTTTTATAACAAATCTAGGTGCGTAGTGGAAGATATGAGGTTGATTCTCACCTTTTGCCTTTAGTAACTAGCCCAGTCAATAATGTTAGGGTATACAATGGTTATTGGGTTAATGAATTTCAGTTTCATACTATCACATATGGACAAAATAAAAAGACCATGAATAGCGGTGTTTGTGTGAAGGGAACCACTTTCAATGATGAGTCATATTATTATGGGAGTTTGAAGGAAATAATTGAGTTTCAGTATTTTGACTCATATGTTCATCAATTAGTGATTTTGTTTAAGTGTGAGTGGTATGATATCAACAAAGGCATTGTCGTCCATCCGACATCTGGTATAGTTGACATAAATCCTCGGTTTAAATTACAAACAGATGAACCATTCATATTGGCCAGTCAAGCTCAACAAGTGTTTTATGCCCGTTACCCATCTCAAAATCCTTGTAGAAAAGGGTGGTTTGCTTCATGTAAGATTAGAGCAAGAGCAATAATCGACACTTCATCGTTGAGTGACGGTGGAAATGTTTATTATCAAGACGATGATCCTCCTATGCCACAATTGGTGCAACCCTCGACTGTTTGAAATGATCATGTTTCACTAGCATCTTAAGGGGGAGAAGAAGTGGTGATTAGTGAGGTCATGCAATTGCCATATGTGACAGAGGAAGAATGTGTGGGTGAGGATGATGATGAAGAGGAAGAGTTTGATAGAACGGAAGCGTCGGAAGAAGAAGTTCCAAATTACTTAACCGAGAGTGATAGTGACTAAATGTATCTTATTTGTTTTTTTTTAATTAATTGAACAAGGGATGAAGGACTACTTATATTTTCTTTATTATGTGTTTCCATTAATGACTTTTATATTTATTTTTATATCAATATGTCTGCTATAATTCTTTATATTGATATTTATAGTGAAGTTATATTTATATAT